GGACCTGTCCCCATCAACTACATCCAGAGAGCAAAACCAGCTCCCATCATGGCCTCCCCTGTTTCTGCATGTAATTCTGGTGATTCTAACATGCTTTTACTACTCTGCTGGACCCCAGATCTGCTGCAGTGAACACAAGATCTCTCAGAAACGTATTTATGGCTTTGGGGCTTATTAGGGAAGTTAACTGATGTGGCATTAGGATCAGAGGGAGACTCATCAACAGTTTGTGTTATTCAGATGACACAGCCTTGTTTGCTGATAACGAGGCCTTGAAGCACTTGTTGCAGATTATCAAATAATGCAGCCTTCAGCATGGATTGCATCTCAGTGTCAAGAAGACAAAGATTCTTAGCACTGGACTGACAGGCAACGTCATGATGGATGGAGAGGAGATTGAAACTCTCAAAAAAGTCATCTTACTTGGATCCTTAATCAACACCCTAGGTACCAGCAGTCAGGCAGTCAGGATGTGCCCTGCACTGGAAAAGTCTGCAGTTAGAGACCTCTCCAAGTTATTGAGGAGTAATTTTTGAGGCCTAAGGTGTGTCTGATTCAGGCCATGGTCTTTCTGGATCGCTTGTTGCGCATCTGAGAGCTGGACAGTGAAAAAGGATGATAGAAGAAGAGCTGATGCCTTTGAGCTGTGGTGTTGGAGAAGAGCTCTGGACATCTCATGGGCGGCCAGCAGGACAGATAGGAGAGGGTGCAGCCAGAGTGCTCTTTGGAGGCAAAGACAGTGAGGCTTCACCTCACATACTTCGGGAATGTTGCTGGAAGGGGCTGTTCCTTGGAGAGGGACGTGATGGTTGAGAAGGTGGAGGGTCGGCGAAGGGGAAGAAGACCCTCAACCAGGTGGATTGACATGGTGACTTCTGCTCTAGTGTGTCAGGAGGTGTGCGGGTGGTACCGGATCCGACGTGGTGCAGACTGTTCATGGGGTCACTGTGGGTCGTCCTCGACTCGCCGACACCTAACAACAGTACGGATGTTACCGGGCTACAGAGCCAGGTTGACAGCAGGAGACGTTCTCAGTCCAGACAACCTCTCTAGCCTGGTCTGCCGTTTGTCCTGCAGCCTCGCAGCTCAGTCAGCATCACACGGTGTCCCAGCCCTGCGGTTGCGGCCTCTTCCCTCAGTCCTCCAGCTTGGGCTGAGGCCTCTGGCTCTGGCTCCGGGGGCGCAGGCCCGGTCACTCTGTCTCCGCTGGTCCCTGGTTCTCTGCTGAGACTACTGCTGCTCTTGGGTACGTCCTGGTCCAGCTGCTGTAGGGACCTTAGACCTGAAGGGCTCACACTGCTTCTTCTTCCTTGTTGGTGCTGAGATTGTAAATTTCTGCTCTTGGAGCTACTAAATTTAAATTGGGTAGAACCACCCAATCCCGTTGTGGATAGACTTGTCATGTATGTGCTGTCAACTCACCTGTGACTCATAGCGACCCTATGTACAATAGCCCTAAACCATGCTCTATCCTGTGCCAGTCTTACTGCCTCTGACACACCTACCCCCATTACCCCAGTCACTGAATCAATCCATCTCATTGAGGGTCTTCCTCTCTTGCGCTGTCCCTTCACCCTCCCAAGCATGATGTCCCTCTGCAAGGACTCATCCCACCTTGCAACATGCCCAGAGTATGTCAGACAAAGTTTCAGAATCCTTGCCTCCAAGGAACAGCTTGGTCTCATCCGCTCTAGGATGAACCTGTTTGTTCTCCTAGCACTCCAAGGTATATTCTACACTCTTCTCCAGCACCACAGTTTGAAGGCATCAATTCGCCTTCTGTCATCCTTAGTCACTGTCCAGCCTTCTGATGCATAGCAAGTAATTGCAAAGACCATGGCCTGAATCATGTGCACTTTAGTCTGCAGCCTGACATCGTTGCTCTTCGAGGTCCCTGACAGTAGACTTTCCCAATGCAGTTCATCTTTTGATTTCCTGGCTGCTGGTACGATGAGTGTTGACTGTGGAGCCAAGCAGACTGAAGCTGTCAACAGTCTCAGTCTCTTCACCGTCTGTCCTGACGCTGCTGGTCGGCCCAGTGGTGAGAACTTGTTTTCCTGACAGAGTCACACTCTGTTTACAGGTTCCTGCCCAGCCATGGGACAAAGTCAGGGACATTGGCTTAGGAAAGCTATTTGAATAATAGACCTACTACTTCACGTGTCTTTGTGTGCTTTTGTGACTTGGTGGGTCCCTCTGGTGCCAATTAGGAAGGGTGCCACCCCCGTGGGCTCTGCAGTGCCGTGTGTGTACATGTGGGGCGTGTCTGGTTTGGACCTGTGTGCATGCTCATGGCCGTGTTTGTCGAGGTGCTTCTTGGGAGTCTGTGTAGGTTTGGGGTGTTTTGGGAGGTGGTCCTGGTCTCTCCTTTGCTGCCGCCGGGGGTGTGTAGGACTGTGTTGTGGACATGGACGCTCCGTGTAGCCTCTCGGCTGGGTCTCAGTGGTCTGCGTCTCCAGCTGGTACTGGCCGACAGCAGCTCCTGAGTTTGCACCGGTGTTGGAGGGGAGACTGAGCGAGGGCTCCTCCTGCTGACAGCGAGAGGTACTGTGGCCAGGGTCTAGCGGGCCTGGGACAGTCAGCATCACCGAGCTCTTAGCACGAGGCTGCCTGGGCGGCTGTCCAGTCCTCGGTGCTGCGCAGTCCTCGGGGCACTGTGCTGTCCTTGGGGTGCTGCCCAGTCCTCTGCTCAGTCCTCAGGGCACTGCCCAGTCCTCGGGGCGCTGCCCAGTCCTCGGGGCACTGTCCAGTCCTCTGCACAGTCCTCAGGGCGCTGTCCAGTCCTCGGGGCGCTGCCCAGTCCTTGGGATGCTGCCCAGTCCTCGGGGCGCTGTCCAATCCTCTGCACAGTCCTCAGGGCAATGTCCAGCCCTCGGGGCTCTGCCCAGTCCTCGGGGCGCTGTCCAGTCCTCTGGGCACTGTCCAGTCCTCGGTGCTGCGTAGTCCTCGGGGCGCTGTCCAGTCCTCGGGGCTCTGCCCAGCAGATGCTGGTGAGCCAGGTGTGACGTCACTCAAGTCAGTAGCCTTTGGGTTGCTGTCCAGCCCCTAGAGGGTTCCCGGGTCCCAGCACCTCAACGCTTCCTGGGGGACCTACGGCTGGTGTTGACTGTCGTGGGAGGGCCCCACGTCTGTTAGACACACTTGGAATGCTCAGGCCTCAGACACTGGTCCCGTAGGGCCACAGCGGCTGGGTGGGATGTGACACGCTCACCAGTTCTGAAGTGGGGATGGAGTGACAGTGCACTGGAACACACAAGCCACTGGGCACGTTTGAGGAGCGTTGGCTTTAATAACCGTCATGTTCTTTAATGTCCATTTCATGTCAGGGAGAAGGGAGCCTCGAGCCGATGATCCTCGTTCGGCTCCCGAGAAGGAACGTAGATCTTCCCACAGCAAAGCTAAGAAGGAGCACGCTGCGAAGCAGCTGGGTAAGACGAGGTGCGGGGCACGGCTGGGCGCGGATGTCCGAGACGGGCAGCCGGGGCTTCTGGTGACCCTCGAATAGGTCAGGCTCAGCACAGAGCATGTAGTCAGGGTGCAGCTGTGATGAGGGGCCCCTCCTGCTGGGCGGGGTCTGCCCTGACCACTGCCCTGGGTGTGGTTCTGAGCGGTGGGATTGCCCTCACAGCTGGGGTGTGCCTGCCGAGCCAACCAGTGTGACGGTGTTGTCCGTGTACACCCCTTTCCTTATTCTGCAGGTGTTAAAGCCCCCTCCTGAGGGTCCGGTCCAGAGAGAAAGGCAGGCAGTGCAAAAACTGGGGTGCACAGTATTAGGAATATGCAGACAGGGAAATAGGATGAGGGACTCTGAGGTCTAAGAAAAGGAAGTCTCTGCAGAGAATGGACCAGGGTATGAGTGGACAGGCAGATCCCAGGAACAGAGGCTCTGAGGGGGACAGGTGAGCTGGGGTAAGAAGTGATGGGAGGACACAGAGGCCCTGAGCTGGGGCAGGTGAGCTGGGACAGGATGTGACAGGTGGAGAACTGACCACTGGCAGGGCCCAGGTGGCATAGGACCATGGGGGCCTCGGGTGCAAGTGGAAGCATAGCCCGTAGCATGTGCCCGGTGGGCTGGAGACAGGACTTGGCCATGTTCAACGGGCTGAGTTGCAGCTGGGTGGAGTTTAGGTCGTAGTGGCCATGAGGGGAGTGGAGCAGCAGGAGGCTGAGACGACAGATCGGCTCCTGACTGACCGTCGGCCGTTAACAAGGAGAATGGAAGCCAAGTGCTGTTTCGGGGCTGTGCTGCTCCTAGGCAGTGTCCTGGCCCCTCACATGGGGCAGCCTTGGGCACAGCTGGTGGGGAGGCCCCGGCCGTGTCGGTATTGGATTTGGACTTCATGAGTTTGGGGCCGAGCAGCGTTCAGGTGGACAGTGGGATGGTGGGTCTGCACTTTGGGGTAATTTGAGTGAGTGAAGGCAATAGCAGGTGTGTGGGGCCCTTACGTTCCACAGTTTCTGGAGCACAAGGCAATGCTGCTGAGCTGACCCAGGGGTCTCCGGGAGTGCTGAGGAGGAGGGTGATGGTGGGAGGAGGAAGAATAGGAGAGGAAAGGAGGAGGGGGGAGCGGGGAGGAAGAGGAGGGGGGAGGAGCAGTGCAGGGCACGGGAGACAAGCCTACAGCCCGGTGAGAACTCGGAGAGAGGGTGTCCTGAGCGCCTGGAAAACAGGGACCCTGGAAGGAGGGGGCACCTGCAGAGGGGGAGGGGGTGTCCGTGGACACTTCTGTTGGTAGAGTCACCCTGAGTCTGAGGACTGACAGGATAGAGCCTGCTGGTGACCTCAACCCCTGTTCAGCCTCTCTATAAAGAACCCACCTTGCTAGCCGGTGCCATGTTTTAATGTGCTCTTAACTATTTTATGTCAGGAAGAAAGGAAGACAGTATTTCAGCTCAAGTTTTAGACCCGGTAGTCTCAGGATTAAATAACGAACCTGCTCAGGAAATGACAGCTTCAGACCTAGGTAAGAAAATACCTTCTCTACGCTCTGACCACTGTCAGATGAAGTGTTTAACTTCAGCAGAGCCCTGGGGGTTATTTTAACATTTCTTATTCCAAGCACTGGAACGCTCCCCAGGGTTGGAGGATGTACGGAAGGTTGAGATGAGTTGGTGCTTCATTTGTTAAGTTATGAAATGGAGAATGACTCCATGTGAACCCTTACGTGCATTTTTTGATATAGCTAATTTATCACTGAGGGGACCCCCGGCGGTGTGGTGGGAATGACTTAGTGGTCCTTCCCGTCCACTAACCGTTCCGCTAGAAGCTGGCAGTCTGCTCTCAATAAGATTTAGAGCTTTGGAAACTCGAGGGAGGGCTGCGTGGGTCAGAACAGACCTGATGCTCCTGGACAAGAGACTTGGCTCTTTGGCAGAAGGTCAGTGAGAGGGAGGAAGATGTCCAGTGAAGGGGACTGGCGCGGTGCTGCACGTGAGTTCGAGCACAGCAGAGACTAGGAGGCTGGACCAGGACCGGGCAGGCTTCGTTCTCTTCCCCTGCTGTGCAGACACCACAGAGGAGGTTTCCACACACGAGATTGGCTCTCCCAGAGCACTGAGCACCAGCCCCAAGAGGCTTGCTCGCTGGGTCATTTCTGGAAGGTCGCTGGGTGCTCCCGCGTGTGGGCCGACGGGCCTCGCTGCTCTCTGCAGGTCTCCGTGTCAGGGAGCCCCCAGCACGGGGAGCGGGTCCAGAGCACGTGCTCTGCTCTTTGTCTTCTTGGCCACACTGAGGCCTCAGGGAATCTTGCTTTTCATCAGAGAAGGACTATGATGAGGGTGTCACCCCACCATTATCATCTTGCAGCCCCTTGTTTATCAGGCCATGGGGAGTCATTATAAAACTTCCATGTTACAGCAGCACTCACAGTTCAGGGGACACAAGAGGGTCAGTAGAAGTGGGAACCAACTTGATGGTGCTCAACACCATTATTTTTACGTCTAATTCAAGACACTCTCTTCATTTTGCCACTGTAATCTTACTAATAGATGAGGTTGCTTTGATGGAGTTTCTATTTTTCCCTTTCTGATCTCCACTCTTTTGTGGTCTGTCTCAGAAGAAGGTATTTTAAGCACTTGGCTCAGGGTACGGTGAAGTCTGGGGTTAGGGCTGGCTGACCCGCAGCGCGGTGAGGGGGCTGTCCACGGTTAGTGAAGGCTGATGGGCAGCACTCTGAGGATGGATGATGTCCACGGTTAGAGGGTGCCGACGCCCAGCTCACTGAGCGCAGTGGGGAGTCAGAAGTGCTGCCCACGATCACGTGCAGCTGTGGCCTTGTGTGACTTGGCGCTGCGTTCTTCACCATTGTTAGTGTTCTGGCTGACAGCTGACCCTGTCGCCCGTGGGCCTGAGTCTTGTTCCCCTTGTGGTGACTGTGACTGGAGTGACAGCAAGTACCCCCAGTGTGTGCATCCGAGAACGCTCAACTCTGAGAGGGTATGTTCTCCTCCTTTGACGGCACCCAAGGCCTCACAGGCCCTCTGTGGGTGTTGGTCTCCGGCGTCACACCCACCTGTGACATTTCTGAGTCTGCTGTGGTCAGGGTGACTGGACACAGGGTGAACTGGCGCAGAGTGGCCCCTGACAGATGAATGCCTCTCACAGTGTGTGTGCACACTGTCCCGAGCCCATGATCTCCTCTGGTTCTGCACAAGTTCTCGGCTCTCTCAGTGTCCCTGTCCACAGGGGAGAGAGGAGGCCTTGAGGGGAAGGGGCAACCGTTGTCCCTACTGGGGACAAGACCACGTGTCCAGGTCGCGGGAACAGCAGAGTTTGCCAGCGGGGAGCCAGTCTGTGCATGGTGGGGTCCCTGAGTGTCACGTGCTGTCTTTGAGCGTTCACCTGTCTTGAGAGCGGGTGTGAGGAGACCCGGAACGTGACTGTTTTGTCCAGGATGGAAGTGCGCTGTACTTGGTTCAAGGGGCCCTGGTGGGGTTCACCCACTGACCTGGACGTTGACCATTCAGAACCCCCAGCCACTCTGCAGAGCAGCGGCCATCTGCTCCCATGGGCGTGATGGCCAGTTCCGCTCTGTCCTGCAGAGTCCCGATGAGCTGGAAGGCCCTTGATGACAATGGTGAGCTTTTCAAGGAGTCCTGGTGGTGCAGACATTAAGCATGTGTCTGCACATGAATTCTGCAGCTGGACCCTCATCCCCACCCCCTGCCACGCCGCATGATGAAGATGAGACTGTCTGCTTCTGTGTGACTCAGCCTTGGGCAGCCCGTGGGCAGGTCCACTCTGTCCTCTGAGGCCGCTGTGAATCGGAATCCTTTTGACAATAGTGGGTTTTGAGTTACTTCAGGGATCATAGAAGGAAAGAATCTCTCATTTTATTTTGCTGTGTAGTTTAAACTTTTTAAGCTCTGATGGCCTACTGGTAAAGAGCTGCGCTGGCAACCCAAAGGCACACAGTTCGAATCCATGCTGTTCCGTGGGAGAAAGAGAGGCATTCCCTTCCCATGTGATTTACTGCCTCAGAAAACCCACTAGAGAGTCAACTGTGGCTCAGTTCTGACTTGATGTACACAACAGCTACAATGATGACAGGAAATACAGAATAGCAGGAGGAATGGTGTTTTGAGCACCAGGCACCTCCCGTCTCACGTCCTAGCCCCGGCTCCCGGGTTCTAGCGTCTTCCCCTTGAGCTTCAGCTGTAGCTGTGGGTTTTATGAACCATCTCAGATTTTGTAGGCACCTCACCCCAGACCTCAGCCTGCAGCCCAGAAATAGAAAGGAGAGAAGAGACACATTTCTCTAGTAGCCACACAACCAACGTCACACCCAACAAAAATGACAGTACAAAACGACCCTATTTTTCCACAGCTAATGCGTGAGTGACGGTCCGCGCACACCTCACAGCCTTCCTGGTGCGGTGCCTTTGTGTTATAGCTGAGCTCTTCCCACGGGAGTGTCATATGCACAGAAATAGCCCTCTTCCCCGCTAGTAAACATTCCCCATTTCCCTGGCAAACAGCGACTTCTGGGGTGACGGTGGCTTGTCTGTGGACCGGTCCACCCCTGGGTTTTTCCCGTCTCCCTGTTCCCCCCACCTGCCTGTTGGCTCTTAGGTCTGGTGGCCTGACCCGAACCTGTGAGCATCTCCTGGCTTGGCTGACTCCATCTTTGTGTTGTTGTTCTGATGACCACGCATGGCGCACACAGCCACCTCTGGGTGCCACAAGGGAGGCTGGTGATCCCACGAGCGCTCAGCACCTCGGCATGGCGGTGTCTCTGCAGAGCTGGTGCCTGAAGCCACGGGGCTCCGACAGACAGAGACCTTCAGGAGGTGTCGTGTTGTCTTTGTATGAAGTGCTGTTAATAAATCAAGTTTTTGATAGTAGATTGATTCTGGGAGAAAAGACTCCTTTGGGCAGCTGTGAGAATTTGGAAAAACTGACTTCTCTAGCAGTTGTTTCCTTCTCTTACCCTATTTGCTTTTAAAAGAAAAGTGTTTGATTTTTTGGGGTATTTACTTTCTCTTTGTAAGCTCCGGAGTGTCAGTTTTGAGAGGTTTCATGTTGTCCAGAATGGCTCCCAGACCCGTTGGTATCAAGTCGGTTCTGACTCGCAGGGACCCTGGCCCGCAGTTCCCAGCCCTGCGGTCTTTACTAGCTGAGTGCCTCCGCTGTGTCCTGTGGAGCAGCTGATGGATTCGAAGCACAGACCTTTGTGTTCCTAGCCCAGCGCTTAGCCCTCTGGGCCGCCAGGGCCCCCTCTACGTGGCACTGGGTGAAGCTGGTTGTCTTCTCCTACTTTCCTGAAACTCCAGCCATTCCCAGCATCTCACTCCTGGCCTGGCTGTGATGGCGGCTTCTGAAGGAGAGAGACCATGGGGGCTGCTCTGCCTTTGCTCGAGTAGGGGCCCCTTCCCTTCTCCCCAGTCCCAGAGCCGGGCTGGGGGTGAGGTCAGGGCTCAGCTTGCCTGTTTTGCGGCATGTGCCGTGTGCCACGAAAGCCTTTCTGCCCAGTCTCCGGTGCAGCTTCCCTGCTGGTCACGGTGATTGGAGAGGCAATTCACAGAACAGATTGACTCTGCATGTGGCACTCGCCCCCATTTTACTCTGCAGCACGCCCCCCCTCCTCCCCATGTCTCCCTCGCCCCCGCCCCTTTCCCTGCCCCCCAGCCCCCCGAGCTCCTCTCATGGTCCCTTTTGCACTGTCCGTGTTAGGAACGAGGGAAGCCCTCATGAATTCAGCTAGCCTTTTAGATGACAGCACCACTTGTCTGTGGCGTGACAGTGTCGAGCTCGAACAGGCGGCGAGGCATAAAGGTAAGGGGCCGACCTTCCCCCAGCCTGGAGGACAGTGGGCAGTGCGCAGGGAGGGGCTGGCCCCAGGCCCCCTGGCTCTGCTGCGCGTGTGGAGTCCATCTGCTTGTGCCCCTGCCAGGGAGCCTGGAGCGGCACCAGGGTCATGTGTGGTCAGCCCTGTCTGCTCCCTGCTTTGTGGGCCTGGGGGCTCCCGTGCAGCAGGACTGTGCCCCAGGTGTCTGCTCCCACTGTGGGGGCCTGGACGCCCCAGCCCACCTTCTGCAGCACTAACAGTGCTTTCAGTCTGTTTGCTGTGGGTCCCAGAATAGCCCAGTGTCTGGGGCCCCGGCCACTTCAGGTGGAGGTGACCAAGGGCCAGTGATGAGAGAAGTGCCGTAGAGAAGCCCAGTGCTTGTTGGACTCACGTGGACAAGGGTGGATAGGCCCGCCCTCTGTGCGTGTGTTCTCGTGCACACACGGATGCCTCCACCATACTCATAGCTTGTGTGCTTGTGGACACGTGCGGATGCCCCTGTCTGTTCTGCATGTGCTCCGCTCTGCATATGTTCGTGGACACGTGCAGATGCCCCTGTCTGCTCTGTGTGTGCTCATGGACACGTGAGGATGCCCTCGTCCACTCTGTGAGTGCTCATGTGGACATGTGTGGATGTGTCCGCTCTCCATGTGATCACGTCGATGAGTGTGGACAGCCCCTCCTGCTCTGCATGTGGTCATGTGGACACACACAGGTTGGCTCTTGTGTAGACGTGTGTGTCTATTTTGAAAGAGTAACAAAGATTTTCCCTTCAAGTTTTGAGTATACCCTGAGAGTGCTGCCATTTATATTGTGACAGTTTGTGACTTCAGAGCAGCTAGGGGTGGACCGTTTCGTTGATCCGTGAACAGAGGATCAGAACACTGACCTGCCTGTGCCGTCCTCGCTGTCTCTGACGTTCCTGAGCCAATGGCTGCAGTCACTCTGTTGATCCATCTTGTTAGGGGCCTTCTTCGCCTTCACCTCTGCCTTTCCCAGCTTCCTCCCCTAACAACATGCCCAGCATGTCTGTCACCAAGTCCATACTTTCCAACTACTATTCCTTCTTCCTCTAATTCTGATGCCACATTCCTCCTCATACAGCCCAGCCTCCCGAATGATCTGTTCTGCATATAGACTGAAAAGGTATGGAGACAGAAAACATCTCTAGTGACACCCTTCCCGATTTTGAACCATGCAGTGCTTCCTTCTTTGTTCTGACGACTGCCTCCTGGTCCAAGTGTAGGTTTTGCATAAACACGATCAAGCATTCTCAGATGCCCGTTCTTCTCCAAGTCAGCCACAGTTTGTTGTGATCCATACAGTCAAATGCTTTTGCATAGTCAGTGAAACACAGATAGACATTCCTCTGCTGTTCTGCTTTCAGCCAAGATCTATCTACTATTATAATATCCCTAGTACCACGGCCTCTTCTAAATGCAGCCTGCACATCTGGTAGTTCTCTGATGACGTGCTGTTCCAGTCATTTTTGGATTGTTTTCAGCAGAATCTTGCTTGCATGTGATATTAACGATATTGTTTGATAATTTCTGCACTCTGTTGGGTCGCCTTTCTTTGGAATGGCATCAAATTTAACAGCTTTAGTTTGCTTGGCTCCACAATCAACATACTTGGTACCAGCAGCCAGGAAATCAAGAGATGAGTTGCATTGGCAAAGTTGGTGTCAGGGACCTCTCTAGAGTACTGAAGAGCAATGACATCAGTCTGGAAACTAAGGTGTGCCTGATCCAGGCCGTAGTCTTTGCAATTGCTTGCTATGCATCAGAGAGCTGGACAATGACCAGGGATGATAGAGAGTTGATGTCTTTGAGCTGTGGTGCTGGAGAAGATTGTTGACTATACCATGGACTACTAAGAAAACAAACAGATTAGTCCTAGAGAGGGTGAAGCCAGGCTGCTCCTTGGTGTCAAGGTTTCTGAGGCTTCATTTGACATACTTTGGACATGTTGCAAGGTGGGACTGGTCCTTGGAGAGGGACATCATGTTTGGGAGGGTGGAGGGTTGGGGATAGAGAGGAAGAGCGTCGATGAGATGGATTGACCCAGTGACTGGGGTAATGGGGGTAGGTGTGTCAGAGACAGTCAAGTTAGCACAGGATAGAGCAGGTGTCAGGGTTGTTGTACATAGGGTTGCTGTGAGTCAAAGGTTAATCGATGGCACATAACAACAAACAACAAATTCCTTTTTCACTTTTCCTAATTTTTACATTCTCTTCACCAGTTATCATTAACACATCTTGATTGCATGTTAGGTCAATTTCGGACTGCAAGATTTGGTAAAAATTTTTAATTTCTTTCTCTTTGGCTGTGTATATAGGAGTATATATTTGAATAATAGTCATATTAACGGGTCTTCCTTATATGTGTGTGGATAATATCCAACCAGTCACAGTATTGCTGTCTGGCCAATGGATTAGAAAAGATCTATATTTGTTCCCATTCCCAAGAAAAGTGTTCCAACAGGATGTGGAAACTATTGAACAATATCATTAATATTGCATGCGAGCAAAATCCTGCTGAAGATCATTAAAAAAATGGCTAGAACAACACATAGATAGGGAACTGCCAGAATTCAAGTAGGATTCAGAAAAGGCCGAGGCACCAAGGATATCGTGCTGATGCCAGATGGGTCCTGGCTGAAAGTAAAGAATACCAGAAGAATGTCCATTCATGCTTTATTGACTATGCAAAGGCATTTGACTGCGTGGATCAAAGCAAATTATGGCTGACATTGAGGAGAATGGGAATCCCAGAGAACTTAATTGTACTCCTGCGGAACCTACGTCTGGACAAGGAGGCTGTTGTGTGGACAGAGCAGGGGAATACTGCATGGTTTAAAATAAAGAAGGAAGTGTGTCAGGCTTACATTCTCTTTCCATACCTAGTCAGTCTGTATGCTGAGCACATTGTTAAAGAAACTGGGTTCTGTGAAGAGGAGTGTGTCATCAGGACCGGAGGGAGACTCATCAATACGTGTTAGAGCAGATGACACAACCTTGTTTGATGGAAGTGAGAAGGATTTGAAGCACTTGTTGCAGAAGATCAAGGAATGCAGCCTTCAGTATGGATTGCATCTCAGTGTTAAGAAAACAAAGATACTTACACCTGGACTTATAGGTAACATTATAATAATGGAGAAGAGATTGAAACTGTCACCAACTTCATTTTATTTGGTTCCACAGTTAACACCTTTGGTACCAGCAGTCAGGAGATAAGAAGATGCATTGCACTGGGAAAGTCTGTAGTTAGGGGCCTCTTCAAATTATTGATGAGTTTGAGGGCTAAGGTGTGTCTGACTCAGGCCATGTTTTTTTTGCTCACTTGCTAGGCATCTGAAAGCGGGAGAGTGAATAAGAATGACAGAGGAAGAATTGATGCCTCTGAGCTGTGGTGTTGGAGAAGAGCACTGCACATCCCATAGACTGCCAGCAGAACAGATCTGTCTTGGAGAGGGTGCAGCCAGACTGCTCTTTGGAGGCAAGAATGATGAAGCTTCGCCTCACATACTTCAGGCATGTTGTTAGGAGGGGCTATTCCTTGGAGAAGGACATGATATTGGGAAGGGTGTAGGGTCGGCGAAGGAGAGAAAGACCCTCAACCAGGTGGACTGACATGGTGACTGCTGCAGTGGGCTCTCGTGTGTCAGGAAGTGTGAGGATGGCACAGGACAGGAAGGGGTTCAGATCTCCTGTTCAGAGGGTCGCTATAAATTGTACTTGACTTGGTGGCACCTAACAACAACAACAACAACAACAACAACAACAACAACAACAACAGCAACAACAACAACATGGCCGAAGTATGTGAGATGAAGCCTTGCCACCTTTGCGTCTGAGGAGCACTCTGGCTGCACTTTCTCTAAATCCGTGGTATAGTCAGTACTCTCCACCACCACACACCTTAGAACCATCAGTTCTTCTTCTGCCATCCTTCATTGTCCAGCTCTCAGATGCAGGCAAGTGATTGAAAAGACCATGGCCTGAATCAGGTGCACTTGACTCTTTAAACTGACATCATTGCTTCTTAGTACTTTGGAGAGGTCCTTGCCTGCAGATTTCCCCGATACAGTATGTCGTGATTTCTTGACTGTTGGTACCAAGAATGTTGACTGTGGATCCAAGCAAGATGAAACTGTTAACAATTCCAGTCGTTTCTCCCTGAGTCATGATGTTGCATGTTGGTCTAATGGTGAGGAATTTTCTTCTCGAGGTTGAGATGTAATCCTTATTGAATCTTCTGTAGTAAGTGCCTCAAGTCGTCTTCACGTTCTGCAAGCAAGGTTGTGTCATCTGCATAAGGTAAGTTGATGAGTCTTCTGAGCATGATACCACGTTCTTTGGGAAGTCCAACTTCTCGAATAATTTGTGCAGCATGCAGAGGAACATGTGTGGAGAGAGTCTACAGCCCTGAAACATACTTTTCTTGATTTTAAACTATGTCATGTTCCATTGCTCTGTTCAAACAACAGCTTCTTGGTCTAGGTATGCGTTTTGTGTGAACATCATTAAGTGTGCTGGGATTCCCAATCTTCTTAGTATTAGGCATAGTTTGTTATGATCTACATAGTCAAACACATTTGCAGAGTCAACAAAACCCAAGTAGACATTCTTCTTCTTTTTTTAGTAGAATGCCATTTTTATTGGATCTGACACATATTAGACGTTCTTCTTCTATTCTCTGCTTTTGGCCAGGATCCATCTGATGCCAGCAATGATGTCTTTGGCGTCAGAAATTAGACTTGGTGTCAGTAATGGGTGCATGATCCACACAGCTCTTGCCGCTTCTACAACAGGCCTGACTTTCTGGCAGGTTTCTGTCCATGTGCGGTTCTAGCTGTTTTTGGGTGATCTTCAGCATTATTTTGCTTGCGTGTGATACTATTTGGTAACTTCTGCACACATTCTGTTAGATCACCTTTCTTGGGAATAGGAACAGATATGGAACTCTTCCGTCAGCTGGCCAGGTAGGTGGTGTTTATCCCCAACAAGCAGCCGTTGGAGAGAAGGAGCTGTTTGGAAGGCAGAGGTGGGTTTTCAGGCAGCCTGAGATGCGTATTGGGGAGTTGACGGAGAGACCTTGCAGTGGGGCGGTTAGGCTGCTGTGTGGCCTGTCCAGAGCCTGAAGAATGGCTCAGCCATGGACACTTGACACTTGGTTCTGCCAAACCCAGAACCATCTTCTCCCTTACATGTGGTCTTGGTACTTTTCTGGTCTTTATCTAAATATGTTATCTCTTTGGTACATTTCCCTCTCATCCCTGTGTCCTGTTCTCACAGTGATGCTGTAGGAGTCTCAGTTAGCTTTTGCCCATTGCATTTCTGTTTTTAAAAATGAAACAAAAACTGTGGTGCACAAGACACCAGCCCTAGAGGGGCTGGCCTCCTGACAGTCTGTGGTGCACCAGGCCTTGAGGGGCTGGCCTCCTGACAGACCCCCACAGATGTAGAGGCTGGGCTCTCACTATTCTATGCACTCTGAATGGCTCAGAGTCAACAAGCCAACGCTAACTCTCTGATCTGCTTTCTTTCAGGAGACTCTGCCAGTGACGCAGGTAAGAAATGAGATGAGGTGTGGGTTATGCGTGTGTGATCCACAGAGATTGTTCCCTCAGATCTGGGTTGGACACCCTTTTGCTGTGCGGTCACAGTAATCTTGGTTGAACCACACAGAAAGCTCAGGTGGCCAAGTGGGGAGGAGCTGGGCTGCCATCTCAAAGGCACGTGGTTTGACTCCACCCACTGCTCTGTGGAAGAGACATGGGCCGGCCTCTCCCGTGCACTTTACAGCCTCTGAGAACCCACTGCAGGGTCAGCTGTGGTCGGTGCCAGCTCAACAGACTAACAGAAGGTTTACTTTGCAAAGTGAAATTTCTTATGTCAAGGTGATGTTCCAGGTTTTTGCACCAGAGTATAAGTTTGATTATCAATATTAAAATTCTGACCTATTTTTATTATAAACTCTAAAACTTATTACTTTAAGGAATGGAGAGTAAATTGTCTGACTGGTTTAGGCCCTTTATCAGAATGAAGAAATCTTTGTTGAGATTATAAAAATACTGTAGTACTCATTCCTCCCAAAAAATCTTAGCAAAGATAGGAAAGATGATAAGAGAGCCAGACCATTCGCTGCTCAAAGCTTTGCTGGTTGCTCCCCCATAAATGTGTCCGGAGTGTGGGTGTAACCCTTAGATGCACTGCGGGGTTCGGGCACCGGCGAGCCAGTTTGGACCCTCATGACCCCATGATCGCCAGCCTGTCCAGCCCTTCACTGTCCTCCAGGCCTGCTGGGCGAGCCCATGCTGCAGTCGGTGGGTCAGTCCTTCTGATTGAGGGGCTCCCCTTCTTTTGCTGATCCTCCACTTTTCTAAGCATGATGTCCCTCCCTGGGGCCTGGTACCTCTGACAGCATCCGCACAGTACGTGGGTCTCACTGTCCTGCCTTCCAGCGAGCGCTCTGGCGGCATCTCTTCCAAGGCTCGTGTGTTTGTCTTGAATGGGCGGTACCGTTCCTCAGTCTCCTTTATTCTTCGCTGACTGAAATACCAAATCCATTGCACACTCTTTTGATTATACCTTTCCACAGGACTGAGCGGCCCCCTGAGTGGTGGGGGGTGTGCTCCTTGCCTGTGACTGTATGTTTACATACGTGTCCATCGCCTGACTCACTGGCTCCTGGGCTGAGTTGCTGAGCTGACCATAACCTCATAGATACCTTGGAAAACTGACCCAGTCTGATCTCTAAAACTTGAGCGTGCATGTGTCTCCAGATGTCTAAATTCAGACATTGCTCTCCGGTCATCTCCAAATGACAGATGAGGAAATCTCATACTGAAAAGGGTCTGGTGACTCTCTTTTGAACTTACTGCTTGGTTCTTCTCCTTCCTTTGTGACTTGCTGGCTGGACCGGGTGCTTAGAAAGAGAAGTGGAAGCCACCGCTCAGGACAAAGCTGAGGTGCCAGAGAACGCGCAAATCCCTGACGAGCTGCCGTCCAGTCTCAGGTGTGTGTGGATCTCCCGCCCGTCCAGTGGAGGACTGACTACTTCGGGGCAGAGGGGGCTGCTTGGCCGGTCCTGAGCTTTCCTGTTAGTGTGCAAGCTTCTCTGGAGAAACTGGACTTTGATTGAAATAGGAGTCCTGGTAGCACAGTGGGTCAGTCCTTGGTTGTTAACTAAAAGGTGGGTGGTTCAAACCCACCAGTCTCCCAAGAGAAAAGGCGGGGCGGTCTGCTTCTGTAACGATGGGAACCCATGAGGCAGTGCTCCTTTGCCCTGTTAGGTCACTATGAGGCGAATCAATTCAATGGCCAAGACTTTTTTAACATAATGATTCATATAATTGTAATATGTGATTGGAAGCAGGGGTGGCATCCGCTTCTGAAATGGTGGCTTGCCTCCAGAAACTCTATGAACAGTGCTCGGGTCTTTCGTTCATAGGGTCTCTAAGAGTTGTCTACAACTTGACGGCACCTAACAACAACACCACCAATATGATTGTTAAATCATGAGTTAACATAACTCTCCTGCACCTGAGATATCTCATTGCTGACCCTCCAGTGGGTTTTCAGCGGCTGTAAGTCACACGGGAGGAGATGTTCCACTTTCCTTCCGAGAAGCTGCTGCTGGCGTGAACTGTCAGTACAGCCTCCTGAGGACGGCCCCACCGGAGCCCCTGAGACACAGCTGACACAGTCTCCATTTGGGGAACTCCAGCTGACAGAGCAATCATACCATGTTTTTAGTACCAGTAGTTATTATTATTTTTCATACCTTGACCTTAACTAGAAAGAAAAGGTTAAAAATGAGTTCTTTAAAATTTTTCAGACTGAGAATATTAATATTCCGCAGAAGGTGTCCACACTAGCACACTGATGTGGCTAGAACATGAAGGTTCACTAACCTGAAGCTTCTCCTGTCCATTTGGAGTGTTGGAATGTCTCTGGTTTTCAATTGTTTAGTGCTAGAAGAATCCCTCGGCCTGGCAGTGCGAGACCGGCTCCTCCACGTGTCAAAAGACAAGAAAGCTCAGAAGTTGTAACTGTCGACAGGTGGGGCTGCCTCGTGGGTGGGAGGCAGGGGCCAGTTCCCAGTGCTGGGTGGGCGGCTGAGTTCTCCTCTTTGACGTGGTGATGGGCAGAGCTCTGGGGCTCCGTGGTCGGGGAGAGTCAGTGTAGGAAAGAAGAAATGGTGCGGGGTGACGACGGGTCAGTTAGAAATGGGCAACGGTGATGTCAAACAGTATGATTCACTGTTGTTCTCAAGGCTGGGACCTTTCAGGAACATGAGAAACATCACTCAGTTGCTGAATTGTGCATGAGAACAAAGTTGAAAAGGCAGATGATGTTCTCTCTCTCTCTCTCTCTCTCTCACACACACACACACACACGAAATAGAATCGGTTAGCCTTCACCTCAAACCCTACACCAAGATACAGCAAGAGCAGATAAAAGAGAGGGAAACGTACAGGCCCAGAACCCTCAGAATATATCTGAACACTGGTGTCTGTCTTTCTAATCTCTGATACAGAAATTCTGAATGAGAAAAACAGACATGCTAAAGAGTTAAAAGCTTAATTATACAAATTCAAAATGAAAGTTTGCCAAAAAGCCCCTCACCAGCAAACCTAGTCTCTGCCAGTTTTGTAAGTCTTATCCCTCCAGCTCTGGGTGCAGCGTGAGTGTTCAGTGTAAATGACGAGAATTCTAACAAGGGAATGGAGAAACAAGACCTTTTGCTGGGGTGTGCTCAGACCCTGGTGGAGGGGTGCAGGAGATTTTCTGAGATTTTACCACAAGGAGGCCACGTGGACGGCAGGAGGGCTGTGCTGGGGGCACACATGCTGTGTGTTTAAGACGGAGGTGTGACAGACACTGATCTGGTGAAGGAATGGCCCAGTAACGGGGGGCTGTGTGGCGAGGGGGTGCATAGTGCTGGCAGGCCAGCAGCAGTGGTGGGAGGAAGGGTGGGGTGGGCAGCACAGGCTGTCCTGGGCCTGGGGGCCTGGTCAAGGTCATCCCATCCCCATGAATCTCCATGGGAGCCCGCCTGCGTGACGTTCTGTCACGTCCTCATTGGATGGCCAGTGATGGACATCCAGTGATGGACAGCTCTGTGGTGCCTGGGAGTGACATGGGTGTGTCCCCTGTTCTCTGACCTTTCCCTGTCTGGGTTTAGGACAGGGAGCGGGAAGGCTGTATCCAGTGTGATCACGGACATGCAGAACTTGGATGACGAGGAGGACGATGACCAGTTCGTGGTGGAAGCTGCCCCCCAGCTCTCGGAGATGTTGGACATTGAGGTGAGTTTCAGCCTTGAAACTGAGATTATGCCATGTGCAAGTAAATAGCCAGTTGGTGTTTTTTATTAATCATTTTTTATTACATTTCATGAAAGAATTCATTTACATTGTATTTAATTCATGTACATTGTGTTTTCTATGATCTCTGTTTACATTGTTTCATGTAATCGTTCATATACATTGTATTTTCTATAAGTAATTACTATTAATGTTACTGCATCTTTTCAAATCCCCATTGAATCTTTCCTGTTCCTTCTCCCCTGATCTGCCCACCATGCTCTGCTACCTTAGAGATCCCCCCTCCTGCCTCCTTCCGCCACCCCCTGCCCCTTTGGGCGTTTATCCACTTTCCTAGTTAGCCTTCTAGGTTTACAGTAAGAGTCAGATGCAGTATGAGACTGAGTTAGTTCACAGAGCTCAGTGGTCTGGAGATTCTCCCTCCTGTGTTGGATAGTATTCATGAACTTGTTACTCCTTCGTGCTACATAGTATCCCCTTGTATGGATGTACCCTCACTGCTCAATTCATTCACTTGCTGGTGGACTTTCGGCAGTTTCCATTATGTGAACATAACTGTACGGTCTCTGCTCGTGTCACAGGCCTGTTTTCCTTGAGGTGCCTTCTTAGCAGTGCACTCGCTGGGTCGTGGGGACTCTCGCTGTTCAGCTTGCTGTGTGCTGTCCAGTCCACCCTGGCTCACAGTGCCCCTGTGCGCAGTATCTCTGAACCCTGCTCTATCCTGGGCCAAACTCGCTGTCTCTGACACACTTACCCTCATCACCTGTTACTGGGTCAGTAGACCCTGTGACTCTCTGATTCAGAAGGTCCCCTGCCGATCATGTCTTCTCCCCGGTACACAGGGAAATGTCTTTTGTCTGCGTTTCTGGGTAAGATGCTTGTCTGCCAGACAAGGCTCTAAAGCGGAGCATCTAAACTAAGGTGGACGAGGGAGAGGGTCTGGCCCTGCGCTCCCAAATGACAGGCCTTCGAAACCCTATGCTCAGCTCTCCAGGAATCGTCAGACTGCCTTCCAGAGTGATTGTACCATTTTATGATCCCACCAGCAGTGTCTGAGAGTTCCCATCTCTCCACATTCTCTTCAACATTTATCATTTACTGTCCTTTAAACTTGGCTACAGCTGCTGGGGTGAGATGGTATCTCATTGCAGCTTTGATTTGCATTTCTGTGATTACCAGTGATTTTGAGCATTTCTTCATGTGTCTGTTGGCCATCTGAATGGCTTCCCTTGTGAAAAGTCTTTCCATGACTTCTGCTCGTTTTAGAATAGGGTTATCCGACTTTGTTGTGAAGGCCCTGTAGGATTCTGCACACTTTTGTTATGAGGCCTTTGTCTGAGATGGCGTTGCCAAATGCTTTCCCCTGTCAGTAGACAGACCCTTATGCGGACTTCTCGGGCATTTCCTTTAATCCTAGTTGGGTGTTGTGGGCTTTTTTTTTTACATTAATGAGTTTACAAAGACTTAGGGTTTCTAGTCATTCACTGTTGTACTTTTCTCCTTACCCCCCCACCCCCCCAATTTATTCTTCTCCTTGAAAAGAAAGGACAACTCTTTCATTGTTATGCAGTCCCTCCCCCTCAAGTCTACTCCATTATGCAGCCTTCACTCTGGACTTCTGTAATGACAAGAATACCCATTCATATGTCCCTTTTAAACAGTACTCTCCCTCATCTGTTTCAATGCAATATACATCATTCCTCCCCTCCTTTTCTGTCTTCCCTCAACCCTGATGTCAGTCCAATTTTACAACAGTCTCCCTATGCAATATTTGTCCTTCTGTGACTGAGATATTTCACTCAGCATAATGTCCTCCAGGGTCATCCATTTTGCATATTTCATGAGTTCCTTGTTTTTCAGTGCTGCACAGTATTCCATTGTGTGAATATACCAGACCTCCTCTCTCCATTCATTTGTTGATGGGCACTTGAGTTGTTTCCAGCTCTTTGCTATTGTGAACAAAGCCACAGTAAACATGGGTGTACATATATCTGCTTGGGTGGCAGTTATGGTCTCTTTAGGGTAACTTCCCACTAATGGAATTGCTGGGTCAAATGGTATCTCTGTTTGCAACTTTCTGAGAAAGCGCCATCCAGCCTTCCATAGTGGTTGCACCATTTTACACTCCCACCAACAGTGAATAAGGGTTCCAGTTTCTCCACAACCTTGCCAGCATTTGTTGCTTGCTGTTCTGTTAAATTTTGCTATTCTTACTGGGGTGAGATGATATCTCATAGTTGTTTTGTGTTTTGTTGTGGTTTTTTTTTAATTGAGATTTTAATGAAAGTTACAAAGAACTTGGATTTCCATTCATTCATTGTGGCACATTTTCCTCCCTGTCCTCCCCCCCACCCCCCCAGTTCACTTTTTTCTTTGGAAAAAAAGTTCTGCCATTGTTACACAGTGTGCCGTTTCCCCCCGCCTCCTGCCAGCAACCATATTACTATGCAGCTCTTACTGTGGACTCTTGTCATGCCAATAATACCTAATTATATGTTTCTTTTATGCAGTTCTCTCCCTTGTCTTTTCAGTGCCTTGTACATTATTTATCCCTGCTTTTCTTAGTTTTCCCCCAACCCTTCTTATATCAGTCCTGTTTTATAACAGTAGCACTATGCAGTATTTGTCTTTTCTGTATTTCACTCAACATAATGTCCTCCAGGGTTACCATTTTATGTAATATTTCATGAGTTCTTTGTTTTTCAATTTTCCACTGTGTGAATAGACCACAGCTTTTCTGTCTTCTCATTTGTTGATGAGCATTTGGGTTGTTTCCATCTCTTTGCTATTGTGAACAAAGCCGCAGTGAACACGGGTGTGCGTATATCTGCTTGGATGTCAGTTATGGTCTCTTTGGGGTATATTCCCAGTACTGGAATTGCTGGGTCAAATGGTATTTGCAGCTTTTTGAGAAAGCGCCACACCACCTTCCACAGTGGTTGTACCATTTTACACTCCCACCAGCAGTGAATAAGGGTCCCAGTTTCTCTAAAACCTCACCAGCATTTGATGTTAGCTGTTCTGTTAAACTTTGCTATTCTGACTGGGGTGAGATGATACCTCGTAGTTGTTTTGCCTTGTTGGTTTCTTGAGCTCTGCAGCAGCATGTTTTTGAGAACAGTCTGATTCTTCTCTTTTCCTCCTTCCTTCCTGCGCAGGTGCCCGCTGTGGAGCTGGAGGAGGATGAGAAGCACGGTGGGTCCCGTTAGTGGAGGGCTGTGCGGGAGAGTGGGGGTGCGTAAAGGTGGGGAGTGGCTGCGAGTGGCTGAGCTGAGGTGCATGTGGGCAGTGTGCCCTGTGATCCAGAAGCAGCTAGTGCAGAGTAGGATTGGGGGGTGTGTTATGCACAGATCACAACCAGGGAGACATACGTAAGAGTGAATGTGTGTACAAAGGGGAAGCCCCTCCGTGAGCTAGACTGGCCCAGTGGCTGCAGCCCTGGGCTCACGCCCCGCAGGGACTGCGAGGACAGTGTGGGGCCAGACAGTGCTTGGTTCTGGTGGCTGTGGGCTCGCTGCGAGTTGGAGCCAGCTTGACTGCACCTGCCACAAGTGACGTGTACACTTATGTGCACAAACACACACGAGGGGTGAGTGGTGGGCAGCTGGCCGAAAGGTTGGAAGTTTGAATCCCCGTGGGAGGAAGGTGTGACAGTCGGCTTCCATAAAGATTGACAGCCTTGGAAGCCTGTGGGGCAGCTCTGCTCGTCCTGCGGGGTCTCCGCGAGTCAGAGGTGACTCGCTGGCCGTGAGAAGGTTTGACATGGATTTGTGTATTGCCGCTGAGCTGATTCCCGCTCCTCGTGACTGACCACACAGTCGCCCAGCGCTGCACATGCTCACCCTTCTCAACGAGGACTCCACCTTTATAAATGCACAGATAGACGTACGTGTGTTTAATAGATATGCTTAAAGAGAGAAGTACTTCAAAGGTTTGACACAAGGTTGTGGGGCTACTAAGTCAAGGATCCATATATGGATCAAGTGACAGGCAGGAGGCAGAACCCACCTAGCGACCCAGTCCTTCCAGTTGATTGGTCACATTCGATTACATCATGGGAGGTCATCACATCATGTCACATTAGAGAACAGCTGGAAGGTGATTACATTATATCATGCTGCAGTAAATGTTGCCAGAGAAGTAACACCAAGTGGAACCACCTCATCAGTTTTCGAGGCTTGCGATTCTTTACAGGTGGAGGCCGTCTGGCCTTTCTGCTGAGAATTAGCTGGTGCTTTGAACTGACAACCTTGTGGGTAGCAGTTACTCCTGAGTTTTAAGCACTGCAGTACATGTTTATGTGAAAACATAAAGCCTAAGAAAAGACATGTATAAAATATAAGTGGATGAATCCAAAGTTACATATGTGTACTTAGCACCTTATAAGGGATTTCTGGAGGCTAAATGGAAAGGAGTTCCCTACCAACACGGAGGTGGGTGGTTTGACCCCACCAGCTGCTTCACAGGAGGGAGATGAGCAGTCCCCTCCTGTGTGGGGTACAGCCTCTGAAAGCCTCAGCGTCAGCCAGCAGTCAGTTCCAACTCTGGACATGTGAGAGCAGCACGTTTCGGACTTTGGTGATGAGTCACGCTGTTTCTCTTCAGTGTGTGAGAGGACTGGCTGCTTGATAGAGGCCAAGGCCTATCCCTGTCCACCCGACAGAACCTCTCACACATACAGCTTTCTCCACCTTGCCTTGTTTAACAACATGTCCTGGTGGTCCTTCCACCTGAGCCTTGAGGGATGTTCTCCCTGTTCTTCTGTGGTGACAGACTGCACACTGTGGCCAGGTCACCCGATGCAGCCCATCTGCTGTGGAGGCATGTGGGTGAACCAAACTGGTTTTTCCTTTTTTGACCTTTTATTCTGATTTATATATAAAGTTTGAATGCATTGTTTTTCACAAAAGATCCTTTCCATTTTCTTCACCCCACCCACCCATCGAATTGTGCAACCCTGTGATTAACACCCTACCCCCCCCCCATCCACACCTCTATTTCCACCCCCCACCCCCGCCTTGGATCCTCATACTCATTCTACAATAATGGTTTATGCAGTATTTGTCCTTGTGGGACTGAGTTATTTCACTCAGCATAGTGCTCTCCAGTCCCTCCCAAGTTAGGTAGTAATTTACAAAATCATTGCTCCTGCATGCTGCGTAGTAATCCATTGTGTGAATGTACAACTTCTCAGTCCATTTCTTTGTGGTTGGACATCTGGGCTGTTTCCATGTTCTTGCGATGGTGAATGACCCAGCTATTCCATTGCTTGGAATATACCCCAAGAAAATGAGAACTGAGGCTCAAACAGAAACTTGTACGTCACTGTTCATAGCAGCATTATTCACCGTTGCAAGGACATGAAAACTGACTTTTCATACATTTACCTACAAGTAGTTCTTTGTAAGGAGCCCTCGTGGTATAGCAGGTAATTAAGTGCTCAACTGCTAGCGAAAGGTGGGAAGTTGACTTCCACCTGGCGCCTCAGTGGGAGACAGCCTGCCGCCAGCCGCTGTCCTGCCACCAGCCGCTGTCCTGCCACCAGCCGCTGTCCTGCCACCAGCCTCTGTGAAGCCTGTGGCCTCGGAGACCCTGTGGGCGGTGCTTCTCCGTCTCACGCAGCGTCCCTCAGGAGGAATCAGCTCAGCAGCAGACGTTTTTTAAGGACCTGGAATGATTCTTGCCCACAGAAAGGGAAGAGTAGGACTGAGATGCAATTCCGAATCCTCCCTCCTTTGGCAATGACTGCTTAACTTTCTGATGTTAATCTACGTTTCTTTGGGAGTAGAAAAGAAAGTGGAATTTATTTCTCTAGTTTTTAGCTTTCAAGAAACAGTTTTCTTTGAAACTCTTTGATGTCTCCAGTTAGGTCAACCACAGTATTGCTGTTGTCGATGGTACTTACCAAATAAAGATCATTTGGAGCTGATTGTCGAAAAAGAAATAGTGGGAAGTTGGTGTGGGTCCTACCCGTCCATGCAGGGAAGGTACTCTGGCATAAAATGCCCTCTGTCCACAGGCGGCCTTGTGAAGAAGATTCTGGAGACTAAGAAGGATTATGAGAAGTTACAGCAGCCCCCCAGGCCCGGAGAGAAGGTAAGGATTATGAGAAGTTACCGCTGTCCCCCAGACCCAGAGAGAAGGTAAGCTTGGCACCCCATATGCCCCTCATGGCTCAGGGCCGCGAACATGCGGTCACCTCCTGGTAGTTAAATGCCACCTGTGAAGGCTCTGTGCACAGGTCAGCTGCCTGGTGCTCAAGGCGACGCACTGGCCTTGCGTGGGTCCAGAACCGAAGGAGTGGCCTGTATTCCCTTCTAACATCCCCCTCGGCCGTGTTCCTCCTCCCTGCCCTGTCCATCAAGTTGGCCATAAAATGAGGGACTGTGAGGTGGGCTTTCATCTGTGTGTGCTGCCTGAACCCACCTCCCAGACATGACGGGGACCTCGCTCCAGCACCTGCCCTTCCCTTAGCACGAGACTGCGGGGTACCTTGAACGCCAGGGGGCAGTGCTGCTACGGTTGTCTTACGAAGTAAAAACTCATCTGTTAAAAACAGACGGTTTTTAAATAGTTTGTTCAGTCTAGAATTCCACTGCCTAGTTGTGTGTGTGTGTGTGTGTGTGGTTCTGGATGAACCCTGGGGCCACCATGGTAGGTGTTGGAGTGCTGACTGAAGGGCCAGTGGTTCGCACCCGCTGGTGGCTCTGAGGGAGGGCTCTTAGGTTGTCCTCTCCGGGAAGCGGGGAGGCCTCGGCACTCCTCTCTGCTCCAGGCGCTGCGGTCGGCCTGACTCTGCAGTAACAGGCATGGCCGGGCTAACCTTAGATGATGCTGTTGCAGAGGCCCCACCTCCTCTTGAAATGACCAGTGAGAAGCCTTCCCTGGAGGCTTCTGCTGTGTGGGGACGGGGACAAAGGCAGTATACTTGGGTTTCTGCTGGGGCAGGGGCAGCAGTATCCCTTGGGCCTGGCCAGCCTAGTGCTGGCTGCTCGCTGCTCCTCATGTCCATTGCTGGGGAGTTTTACTATGTCCCAGTCCTTTCCCCGGCAGGAGGGTTCATCCTGGGCTGTGTTCCTGAAACGCAGTTGACACTTTAAAACTCCTGTGGGCTGTGGTCCTTTGCAGCGTCCAGCTCGTGTCTGATCCATGACTGCTTCACAGCGCACTAGGCCAGGGCTTCAGAGCTTCCCCTGAAGAGTCATTCCCAATCAGGAAATCTCTTAGCTTTGAAGAAGTAAAGGACAGTGTCAGCAGACACACAGGCACCACTCGGGCGAAGTCCGCTAGCTCCTCGTCTTAGTTCTCTGGTGCTCCTGCAGTAGGGACCCGGAAGGGGAGCGGCTGCAGCAAACAAATTCATTCTCTCCCAGTGTCGGCGGCTAGCAGGCCAAGCTCGGGGTTCCAGCCCTAGGACAAGGCCCTCCCTCTGTGTCTCCTAGTCCTGGGGTTTCCCGCTGTGGGAGCCTGGCGCTCTTTGACGCTGTTGCTGAGTCCTCTCTCTCTCCTGTATCTTGTGAGACAAAAAGTGATTCAGGACTCTCCTCAGGGACACTGGCCTTACACCAGATCAGGGCTCTGTCCTCGTGAAGGGTGTTGACTCCCTCCCTAATCCCCGTACACCTGACTGGCTGATCGTGTCGTGGGGGTCACTGCTCCCAGCCTGCCTGGTTGACATGTTAACATCGTGGCGGAATTTACAGCATGCGGTCATTGCCTAGGACATGAGGCCACGTGGACAGAGCTCGGCCTGTGACCCGTCAGTTCTCATGGTTCATGAGGACATTTAAACGCATCAGTTAACAGTTCCACTGTCAGTCTTCTGCATACACTTGAGAGTTTTTTAGAAAATAAGCACATAAAACCTGCAGGTCCGGTGGGGGTCCTGCTTTACCCCTGCCCAGCATTTCTCTTCTGAAGGCAGCCACGAAGGTGAATCAGCACAAACGTGCGTGATCACTCTGATCTGTCAGAGCAGTTCTCCGGGGCTCTAATGTTAGCCCTCTGTTGATGTCATGCAGCTGGCTTTCCACAGCCAGCACTGCTTGTGAGACCGGCTGCACGTTGATGCCTTGTCTCATTGGTTCGGGCACAGTGGTCCTGTGACCCGGGCGAGCGCTGCCCTGTCTGGCCTGCCCTCGCACCACTGCTGTCCAGGAGCCTGCGGCTGCAGCCACGGTGCCAGGCATCTTGTTGACGGTCTTCCTCTCTGCTGGCCCTCTGTCGAGCACGGTGTCTTTCTGCAGGGACGGTCCTTCTTGATAACAAGACAAATCCTCTCTTCTCAGGCGAGTTCTGACTGTGCTTGTTCTAAGACGCTTTCTTATCCTGGCGGTTCGCGGTAGAGTCACTATTCCCCAGCACTGTGGTTCAAAGGCATCAGCTCTTGTCTTCCTCAGTCCTCATCTTACTGGAAAGACAGAGCATTTGCTGGAGTCTCTCTGCACCCCAGCAGCTTTTAGGAGGCTGTGAATCTCAGTCAAGGAGATCGCCCATCTTTTCTCCTCTGCCGCCTGTGGGTCCACTGCACAACTCCCTACAGGTGGTGCTGCCAGAGCCCCCGAGACGGGATGAGACATCGTCCATGAAAAGGCTCCTTAAAAATCCTGGAAGGCGAGAAGCAGCCCAGGGAGAGCAAAGAAATGCCACCAAGCACCCCAGGAGGGGACTCCTCGGGGTGAAGTACCAACCCTGGGCGTAGGCGCATGCTCAGCCCAGACCTCAGACCGACAAGGGGGACAAGGAAGGGAGGTGGAGACCAGAGTCTGCACCGCCAGTCAGGTCTTTGCTCGAAGGTGTTGACTTTAGGCTTTTCAGGGCCTCAGTGGCACTTCATCGGATCAAATCACCGGCAGCTCAGTAGGCGGGTCGGGTGGTCTCCCCGGCAGGGTGCAGCCTCCGAAGCCTGCGCAACGGTCACTTCCAGCTTCACAGCCGTGGGAGTAAACGTCCTCCGACCTGCTGTGGGCATGTCACGCCGAGGGACCAGTCCCTGGAGACGGACATCATGTCTGGAAAAGTAGAGGGTCAGACGAAGGGAAGAAGGCTCTCCATAAGACAGAGTGACAGTCACTGCAACAGGGGCTGGGGACGACAGAGACGGCGACAAGCAGAGCAGGCCGGGCCTCGTCCTGTTGTGTGGGGTCACGACTAGATTGAACATCTCATGGACCACCGAGACGGGAAACATATCTCTCCTGGAGAAGGTGAAACCGAGCTGCTCCTAGGAGGAAAGGCCTTTGAAGCTCCATCTGACATACTTTGGGCATGTGGCCAGGAGGGACCAGTCCTCAGGACATGGTGCTTGGAAGAGTGGAGGGGCAGCACAGGCGAGGAAGACCCCAGATGAGCTGCATGGTGAGTAACTGGGGTAATGACTAGGTGTGCCGGGGGCAGTGAGATTGGCCCAGGATAAGGCAAGATTCAGAGACTGAGGATTCCTAGGGTCGCGGTGAGTTGCAGGCGACTTGATGGCACATAACAAAGCAAAACCAGTGCCGTCCTGTTGATAGGTTCCGACTTGAGATGATCCTCTGGCAAGTTTCTGAGGCTGTAAATCTTTTCGGGAGAGTAGCCCCAACCGTAGTACAGTCTGACAGCAGCGTTCCTCAACAGCGTAAGTGCGTGTTTGGAGAGCGTGGTGCGGTGCTGTTGAGGACTTGGAAAAGCTGGGACTCCTGGTGCCTCTGTTCTTGGGGACCCTGGCAGATGTGGAGAGAACAGAGTGGAAGCATGTGGGCACACGGGGGATGGGCCGGTCCTGCCTGTCATTGTTACTGATTGATGATTGTTTTGGGAGCCCTGGTGGTGGGGTGTTAAAGAGATGGATTGCAGTTCACGCCACTGGCAGAGCCTGGCTGTAAAGGTTTCTGGCCTTAGCAACCCCCCAGGGCTACAGTGGTTGTCCTGTGGGTTCACCAGGAGTCAGAGCGACATGGGGCGGGGGCTTTTCAGCTGTATGTGTCTCATTAGGAAGTAGGTGCACTCTGCATTTCACAGAAGTTGTAATTTGCCTACAACCTGCATCCTTTTTTAGTTTTCACAAGGAGCTGAGAAGATAGATCCTTGCAGTCCGGGTGTCCTTCCAGCCTGTCTTTGAATTCAGGTGGGAGGAAAGCCATTCCTTATCGGTTGATGGCCTGGGCAGTGCGTGTACGCTACACGTGTGCGTCAGAACCCTCCAGCACTGTCTTCATGGTCCTGACTTGAGTGGAGATAGACTTTTGTTAATAGAATATTGGCTTGTGCCAGCTCTCTTCCCTCTGCTTCAAGTTTATGAAAGGAAAAAACACGAAAATGAAATCCGTCTCCTTCCAGCGTTCTCACAGTGACAGGAGCGGGGAGGCTGGGGGAGCAGCCAGCGGAAGGATTTTGCTCCGTCCCTGCCCAAGTACTTCTTATCCCGAGTGTTTCTGTGCCTCGTTGCACTATCTTCACTGACTTGACTTTCAATTTGTTCCTGCTCTAATTGCATGTCGGTTTTAGCTGCTTTTTCTTTACATTTAAGGTTTTGTTTGGAAGTGGACGCTGTAGATGTCTTTCTCTTCATCTTTGTACATGTGTACATTGTATACGTTATTTTTTTTGTGCCTTCGCATCACCTGTGACTCATAGCGACCCCTATGTACATTAGCTCTGAACCCTGCCCTATCCTGAGCCAATCTCTTCATCTCCAGCAGATCTAATCCCATTTCTCCACTCACTGAGTCAGTCCGTCTCATCTTGGGTCTCCCTCTCCTGCGCTGTCCCTCCACGCTTCCAAATATGATGTTCCCATCTTCCTGGCCACATGCCTAAAGTATGTGAGACACTGCTTTAAAATCCTCGCCATCAGGGAACAGCTTGGTTTCACCCTGTCCAGGACAGACCTATTCTCCTGGCAGTCCACCGTTTGTTCAACACTCTTCTCCAGCCCAACTGACTGTATGTTTTTGCTAAACCTGACCCTCCCGCCAGCACAGAGTATCCTGACAGTGGTTTCTGCACTGAATCCACTCTTTTGTGTCTTGTCTGAGCTGTGGGTTGATTAGAGAGATAGCTGGGGGGCGGCGGAATCCCTGTACCTCTGAATGATATTATCTCTTCTGTTAAACCCG